CCAGATGATCTGTGTTTTGATCCTGTATGCTCCACACTGGTTTGTCGTCATTATCTGCATCGTTTTTATGTCTATATTCTGATTTACCTCATTTTGTATTTTGCTTTGTGTGTTACCTGTTGTTCTGTCTGTACAGCACTTTGGTTGGCCTTGTCGCTGTTTTAAGTGCTCTATAAATAAAATGGTATGGTATGGTATGGTAGTGAGGGAGCGAGCAGCATGTCTTTAAGAAAAATGGGAGGGAGGCCCCTTGACGTGACATGGGCTGTCTCTCATTCCTATTTTTTGGTTCTCAAAATGGTGGACGCTCGGTGTGGTTTGAGCTGTTTAGCATAACATTTTCACACAAAGCTTTTAATTAAAAATCAGTAAACAAGATTTTAATTTAAAAAGCATGGATAAAAACCAAACTACACCACAACACGCCCATCTTTTGACGGGTATGAGATAATAAAAAGTAAAACAACCTGCAAGTGTAACACATGTTGGGTGACCCACTCCCCTGAGCAGTCCGCTGCACCGGTGACAATACGGCGCATTCAGGGACACCATTTATGGAACCACAGCCAAGAAACGATGCTGTAACGCTCTGCACTCCATCAGCGGTGACTCTTTTCCACACACACTCGTCGATGTGAATAACATAGAAGAAACATGCACAAGTCACCAGGTCTAAACGGACACTAAATCTGTTCCCCTGGACGATAACAGCCAGCAGAGAGATAATAGCTTTATAGTTTGTAGGCCACTGGAGAAAATACTCGAGTCTCACGCTAATTACAAAACATCTGGGTCAGTTTTCTTCCTCACATTCCTCCTCTTGCCTTCAACTTACTGCTGAGCATCTTGAAGTGAGTATCAGAGTATTCAAAAGGAGCAGAGTAAACTCTATTCAATTCAGTTTATTTATAACAACAAAGTTGTCTCAGGGCACTGAACAGGAACATTCACATATATAGCAAAGCCAATCAGTAAAGTTCTCTATCTAAGGAAGCCAGCAGACATGTCATCTCAAAGACATGTCCTTAAAGTCGACGGTTAACTTGATGACACGCTCAGAGAACATCTAGTAGCACAAATTTCTGGAGTCAGAAGACGCTTATCACGGGAACAATGTTATCCACGGTTGTGTTTCCAGGGAGAAACCCTTATGTAACTTGACTATCTAAAACAAGTTGGAATTTGTTATAGGCTTTCTCTGATCCACACAGGGTCAAAAGTATACATACAGGCTCATTTATACAATTCTTAAATAGTTGGGGCAGTGTCTAAATAAAAATATAATGCAATCTTATAAACCCATAATTTATTTACAGTGGAAAATAAAAAAAAGGAAGAAGTTATTTTGAAGTTCTATGGCAGCAAGAGGTGTCTAAAAAGGTGCTCTGTTTCTAGTTTCCAAGCATCCACTAATTTTTTTATTTTTTTTTAACAACAATGTGTAAACATCCAGGAGCTGACGTGACCAGTTGGATGTTTTGGAGGGAATGTTGTACCATTCTGGTCTGATGGAGGATCCTAGTTGATCAACCGTTCTTGGTTCTTATGCCCCTTTTCCGTCAGTATCGGTACAGCGTGGTTCGACTCGGCCCAGCATGGTACGAGTTGTGTTTCCATTAAACTTTCAGTAACAATTCACGTGGGCGGAGTTCAGAGTTCAGAAATTGGCGTCATGCGCCACACCAGCTGGTGGCGGTAATGCTGGTGGTAAGACCCTGAAACAGGTTTCAGTACAGGGGGAGAAGTTATTTTGAAGTTTCTGGTAAATGATAAAGAATACAGATGATTAAAAATGATCAAATTAAACAATATAAATCCTGCTAATGAACTTTAGTTCACCGTTAAATCTCTGATCAAGCAGCTTCTACAAAAACATCTATATTTAAATTTTTTATACATTTTCTTCATCAGAGCAGAGCCTTCTTAGGTTACACATATCCCAGGAGAAATTTGATAAGTTGGTCTGCTTCAAGGCCGAACAGGGGAGTCAGATTCAGATAAGCCACAGTTGTTTTTTTCAGGCAGCCTGTTTTTTTCCCATCAGCCTTGATGCTGGTACTTTCAATCCAAAATGGTCAGATTTGTGGGTATTCCACTGATTCGTGCTTATTAGCTCCCTCCAATGTCGGCCCCAACATGCTGGTGAGTCCCAGAAGCCGCAGGTGGCCTTTGATTCTCACAAATCGCTTCCATCTAACTGTTGAGCTCGTAAATCAGCTGATTTTGAGTACTCGAAGCACGAACCAAATCTTCACACAGCCTCAGCAGTTTTGCCATGGCTGAAACTGCTGCTGCCTTCTTGAATAACAGATAAAGATATCTGACGGTGCCAAAAAGCAGAAACTCTGCTATCATGGTTCCAATGATATAAACATCTTTGGTGTCCTCCTGAGACAATACAGACAGGCGCATCAGCTTTCAATCCATGATGTACCCTGCCGCGTGTGTCTCAGTGGGGCATGAGGGTTCTCCAGGATCCTGTCACTTAGTTAAAAAAATGTGATTGTGTTGAAAGTCCAGCTGACCAGATCCATGACAGTAGTTTATGTTTCGGAAGATGCGTCACAGGAGCTCTGATACACAAGACAGAGAGCAAAAAGGCAGGAGGGAGACGGGAAAGGGAAGAAAAGCATCCGTCTTGCTCGAGAGCGAGTGAGGAAAGAAAACAAATAAATATGTGGATTTGTGAGATTAGCAGATCAGTGTTTTACAAAATGTTTTAAATTTGGGGGAACTGGGGTTGTCCGTAAGAAACACAGTAAAGAGCTATAAGGCAAACACATCAAATATAAAATATTTGATGATCTGATGTCTTAAAAACTGGATGTTTGAGTGACAAAGAAGGAACCTCGGTAAAAAATAAAAATGGAATGAATTGATTCACTTTCAAACCATCTGTCTCTGCTAACATGCATTTTTTGGCCTGATGGAGAAAATTAAAACAAGCAGATAAATCCATATGTGCATTAAAAAAAAAATAACTCCACAAACTTAGTACAGAGCCCTTGAAGACTCGGGATTCGAACCAGAGACCTTCCTGTTGTTAGGCAACAGTGCTTTCCGCTGCACAGCTCTTAAAAATAAACTGTTTGAAAGGCGTTCTACCGTACAGAGCAGTTTTAGTACCTGCGCTTGAATACCAACCCTGTCCTTTGTGAGCAATCTATTTATAATTTCACATTAAAACTGCCTCGTCGTCTCGCTTATAATTCCTCCGTGAGGCCAGGAGGTAAAGGAAAACCTTCACAAAGGTCATGTTTGTCTGGCAAAAAATAAACTTAATTACACAATAATCTGAGCTCCCCGATGAGGTTTGGTTAATCTATACGTCAATGGAGCCGACCGATGAAAGGCGGGAGGTGGTAAATAAGGCGTAAACGCAGCTTGTAACACTGTACGCGCCCGCCATATGATATCACGCCGTTCCAGTAATCACCGCAGCGCTCCAGCGTCCTCGTCTGAAATTTGATCGCTGTCTGTCAGTAATAACACGACATGCCAGATGGTTTATGCAGCGTGGCCTCCGCTGCAGCGCACTTCATCAGGAGCGATGGGGAAGGTGCTGAGGAGGGAGGGATGAGCCACCGAGGAGAGCCGGCTCTGCTCCGGAGAGCCCCGACAAGTTCATTTATTTTAACATGTGGAGGCGGAGTCAACCTGTTGCCTCCGTAAAGACTGGGGACCTTACTGAGCAGCTCAGGGATTACATGGTATATTACCGTGTTTATTAAAAATAATAATTAAAAAAAGCATGCAGGAGGAAAGGTAACAGTTTATAAGTGCTCTGTAAAGCAGACTATTGCAAAAAAGAAACACCAAAAATTAATTTGTGCCGTAAAACTTTGGTGTGTGGCTACAACTAAGTGTAAGAAAGGTCACTTCAAAATCCAAAATGGCCTCCACCATATATGTATGTAAACTGGCCACCCCAGTAATTTGAGGAAGCTATACTTTCTAGACACCAAAGTTCATGCTCATTAATCCAGGTATAAATCCAACAACGTTCATCCAGGTCATCGGGACGGTTTCTTTTGCTGCCGAGCCGTTTCATCCTTCATCCAAAGAACTTCTTCAGTCTGAGGAGCCCACCAAACCAAACTGAATTACACAAAGGGCTCACTCCCAGAGTGGAAAAAAAAAAACAGTTTGCTTCCCCATGTTTTGTTGTTCCACTCTGGGAGTGAGCCGTTTGTGGAATTCAGTTTGGTTTGGTGGCATTGTTATACTTTCTAGATTTTATTTAGCTTAAAAATATAGTTTCCTCAAATGAATGAGGTGACCAGATGGTGGCCAAGGCCACCGCTGGCCACCCCCTGGCTCCACCACTGCACCTGGCGGTGGATAAAATTGTTCCCTCCACTCACTTGGATCCTTCACTGCGCTGCCTTGGAAAAGCAAACAAACAAACAAACCTCTGTTCTTCTCCACAGTGCAACTCCTCCCCAGTTGAATATCTTGCACTAAAAACATTAAGGTTTACTTAAATTCTCTGTTCAATTCCAGTCCAGACAAACATCTTGAAAACTACAAACATTCACTTTTCAAATCCCTCAGCAACCGGCGACTGTAACTGTACCGCTTGTTTTTATATGACCTCAACATCCATCTTCCATATGATGTATGGTCCTCCATGCTCCAACATCCATCCATCTCTCCATAAGTCACTGTGTGAGAGACGGGGGACACCCTGGACAGATCTCCTGTTCATCACAGGGTCACGTTTTCTTTTAATATTTATTATAGTTTATTGTCTCCTAACTTAATAACTAATAATAAATGTTCTAGAAAGCTGGAGTGCACCTTTGAAATGAAGGCAGGTAGATGTGGATTCAAGATTCACACAGTGCCTGACGGTTTGGAGAGAACATGTTCATGTAACATTTCTGCAGCCCGTTGAGATTTGGGCTTAACATATTAAATGTTAACAACCGTTCTCCAGAACCGTACATCAAAATGTCTGAACTGTTGGCTCAGACTGAAAGGTTGCTTTTTCCTACTTTTGATTTTTTGAAAGGTTTTTGTATAAACCTTAATTCTGACGACCATATTTTCTGCTTTTTTCCAGGATGAGTGAGCGATACGCCCAGATCAGAAGCAAAGAGGCTCTACTCGTTATGGTGCTTGTGCTCGGTGTCTTGGAGCTGTCCGTACCTGCAGAAGGAAGGACAGGTGAGTCCACAGAAAACAAAGCAACTTACATTGCTTTTTAGTAAAAAAAAAATAAAAATAAATAAAAAACAAGTTTCTAGGTGTCTTTTATTAAAATATATCTGGACACCTTTTTCAATCAAATCATATCAGTCTGGTCTCACATCTCAAGGCTGACACCAGAAGAGTTGATACAGACCAAGTAACAAGCCACTTTACCAAACAGCTGGGGTTCCAACAGGTACTATCTCTCAGTACCCCTGTATGTACCCTGTAAACTTTACTTACTTACTAGATAACCCTTTAAGTATGCTGTACCTATAATTATCATGAAAGTACCTCCCATATGTACCTTATAAATACCCTTTATGTACCCATCATAAGTACCATTTAAGTACCAGTAATTAGTCATTGTTAGTACTCCCATAAATACTCTGCATTTAAACTTGTAAGTACCATGTCTGTGTCCTCCATGGATACCCTGCAAGTACCTTATGTATCCCTTAGGCATTACCCTGTAAGTAGCCTGTGTGTATCCTCACAAGTACCCTAAAGATAACCTGTCTTTCTCCCATAACACCCCTGTATGTTTGCCCATGCGTACCCCATAGACATATTCCCCCACCCCCCCATATGTACCATGTATGTTACCTCATACCTTGATTCTAGAATTGCGCCGCTCAAGGTGGCTGCATGTTGGAACAGCTCTGTTACTTTCTTTCTGAGATTTTGCTTTTGGAAACTTTAATTCCTCGTTTTCTGGATGTAAATCACTTTTTTTTTTTGGATGATTGTTTCCTCTCGTATCGGACGCTGTGCAGCCGGAAGGATTTTTACTGAAACTATTTTAGTTTTGGACATTTGTTATGATGCTTAACCATGGCAACAAGGCAGTTTTCTACAACCAACAGCAGCTGATTAACATCTCAAAAGCTCAAATAATATCTCAACTTCAGCCCCAAATCTCAAATGAGTTGAAAAGGATGTTCTGTGGATGCATTCTCACCAACCTGCCAGCTGTGCTCGAGTGCCTGACCACTGAGATCCTGGAACTAGCAGGAAACACGGCTCATGACAGCGGAAAAACAGGGTCGTCCTTCGGCACCTACATTTGGCTGTCCACAGCGACGAGGAGCTCGGCAGACTGCTGGGAGGAGTGGCCATCGCTCTGGGAGGAGTTCTGCCCAGCATTCGGACGGTCCTACAGCCCGGGGGAACCGAGAGGCCAGCCGAGTCTGGGTGGACGGATCGGACGGCATCTGCAGCCAGTTTCTTAGGATCCACTGTGGGATGGACCTTTACAAGAGATCCTTCCTGTCTACAGCATCAGCATCTATAACATCTCTTAATGAAATGAGGATAACGAGTTACAACAACAAATAATTTCCCTTTGGGATTAATAAAGTATTTTTGAATTGAATTGAATGTACTCTGTTGATTTCCAAAATGTTTCCCATCAAGTATCCAATAATTACCAAATATATTACCCCATACCTATCGTCTGTGTTACCTATACGTACCACATTTCCCTGTATTCCCTGTAAGTACCTTGTGAATATCCCTCATTTTGCAACAAGTACCCCTCATGTTTCCCTATAGGTATCTCATAGGTACCCTGTATGTTCCCCCACAAGTGCCTGCGTACTACGTATGTTCTCCCCTTAAGTATTCCATACATTTCCCTACAAGTATCCCATCGTACTCTGTCACCGATTTACATTCTCCTGTGAGACCATGTTGGGTGTCCATAAAAGCATTTAAATAAAAACAGGATATGATTATATTAGTTTTTAAAATGTTTCATCTCAGAACACTTGATATTGTTTTGTTAAGTGATCGTCTGTTTCGTTAGTTTAGAAGTTTCTGACGTGAATTATTATTTAAAACAAGAACTTATGTTTTTTTTTTTTACTGTGATGAATTGAATAGGGAACATCAGGCAATAAATAGTTTGTTTATTAAAGTAGTTTTAATTTGATAAGACTCAATTGAAATATCAGTTTATGTAAACCTCTCCATAAAATCTTATCTTTACTTTATTTTTAAATACTTTTTTGCATTTCAGACTCTGGAGCATCCAGGATGAACTGTATTCCTCCAAATGTGGTTAAATTGTTCCACTGGTGCCTTCTTAAAAACAACATTATCTTGGTTTTGCAAAGCCTTTTCACAAATTTTCTATTCATAAATTCACTATTATTATTATTTTTGACCGTTTAGAGCAGTTTTATCCTCACGTCAAGTTGTTGCATCGAAAAATTCCCATAACTCCGTTGTTGATGTCTAACCAGGTGCTGTGAAACTCTATGCAACGAGATGTTGATGATTTTAAAAAGCTGTGGCTCCAGAATCTAAAGCACATGAATGCACAGTTCAACTGCAATGACCCAAAACAAAAATTTCTCTTTCATGACTAAACCTTCTCCACGTCTTTGTTTCTTTGAGCTTCACACTTTATGTAAAAATACTAAACGGACAACGAACCTGAGCGATGCTAGCCAAGTCGTTGCGATTTTCTTGAGACCACGTCGAGTATTCTGGTGTCACGAGACAACCTTGTTTGTTTTGTTTTACTGCCGATACAAATTGTAATTGTGACATCATTGCGAGATACCGTACGGCAGCTATGGTGCAACTGGTTGAAAAAGTAGCGAATACTGGATTTTGTCAAAAACAACGATTTTATAGGTCATTTGATCTAAACGTCTAAAGTATAATCCTAAAGAAAACTTTGAAGAACTTTTCTGAGCACTACCAGCCATTAACGAGTTTGAGCTGAAATACATTAAATTTTGGTACATTCCCTCTGCGTTAGCAAAAATTTCATTACCAGCTAAGAAATCCAAGTATGCAAATCGTGTTTGAGCTTTCCTCTGTCAAATGAACCAATAAATGATCATTGGAATACACTATACACAGGATTCAGACTCATTGTTCAGGGCTTTTCTTAAACAAATGAAGACCCATCTCTGGAGCCGCTCGTGGTATCAGGATGACCAAAATGTAGCTTTAACCCCAGGAAACTGAAAATGAGCTTGGTTTAGTTTGTCCAGATCTGTTTTGATGCAACGTGTCTCTATCACGGTGCTAAAATGAGCGATTCTCGTGTTAAAGCCAGTTTTGTGACAGTGTTGCTGCCGTGACACACGGAGGTATTGGACAGAAGTACGATGATCAGGACTGGACGTTTAATGATCAGACAAATGTGTGATGAAGCCCACCTCTTGTTTTGTTCTACTTTTTAATATTGTTTATAACTTTCACAAGAAAACAATTGGTAAAAAAAAAAGTGAATAATTTGTTAACTCTTAAAAACAAGCGGCTTTATATCGAGACAAGAACACGTTTTAAGAAAACAAGCCTTGTTATCTGGTGATGTAGATAACCATCTTAAAAATGCACAAATATTTTACGATAAGAGAAAAATACCACAAAAACAAGCGTCATATTATTGACTTAAGAAGATATTTAACTCTATCTTAAAATCTGTACACCTCGTTTTAAGGAATAAAACAGGATTATTATTTTTTAAAGACGTGGAAACATTGTCTCGTCCTGTTGGTGCAGACTCAGTTTGCTGGAAGTCGCTTCAGGAGCTTTCCAGCCCGTTAATGTTGAAATGAATCATGACCTCAGTGTCCGACTCTGGTTTGGTGTTAAATGCATGAACGATCGTTGACTGCCGTGCACCTTCAAATTAATGTGTGTGTCGCATAAAAAGCAAGGAAACATCACTTACTGCACCCTTGCGGCAATTAATGAGTCTGTTAATTTTAATTTCACCACTCCATGCTGAGTTGAGTCTGTCTTTTGTTTGATGTAGAAATCTGTTCATCGGTTGCGTCTTCGATGCATTATATCAAAATCACAACGAGTGAACTCAGTCCCTGTGTGGAAGGAGGTATGTTGAGCAGCACAGAGCTGCATATAAAGCAACGCAATGATTACATTATCATTCACAACAGCTTCATGAAAAAGACCAAGTCTGCTGCCTCTCATGCAGTTTACTCTCTTCCTCCAGAGACCGATGAACAAAAGCCTCTCAGACGAAGTCATTTCAGCACAGAAAGAAAATCAACAACAACAAAAAAAAATCGCTTCTAACAAAAAACAGAAACCAACAACTCAAATGATAGATATACCAAGTATGAATCCAGCATGTTAGGACCTGATCAGTACCAGGTACGTACCCTTTAAGAATCAGGTACATGCCAAAAAGGTACTAGGTAAGTACCCAGTAAAGATCAGGTAATAGGCATGAACTCAATAAGTATCGGGTGCATAACCTGTAAGGAACATGTACATACTAGGTTACATATCCAATAAGAACCAGGTACATACCCAAAAAGGTCCTAGATACAAACTCAGTAAGTATCAGGTATGTACTCTTCAAGAACCATGTACATACCCAGTAAGGAGCAGATACATACTAGGCACTAAGTCAATAAGTACCAGTTACATTATCTGTCAGGACCAGGTATAAACTAGATACAAACTCAATAAGTACCCGGTATGTATCCATTATGACCCAGGTAAATACCCAACAAAGACCAGGTACATACCCAGTGAGGACCAGACACATACTAGGCACTAACTCAATAACTACTTCGTACATAACATGTAAGGAACAGGTATGTACTAGCTGTAAACTTAAGTACCTGGTATGAATTTAGTAAGGACAATGTGCACATCCAATAAAAGCCAGGTACGCATCCGGTACATACCCAATGAGGACCGGTTGGATACCCAATAAAGACCAGGTACTTACCCTGTAAGGACCAGTCAAATACAAAGTACAAATTCAGATACAAACTAGGTAGAAAATCTACAAGTACCAGGTCTGTACCTTCCAAGAACCAGGTACATACCCAGTAAGGACCAGATACATGTTGTCAATAAATATCAGGTACATAGCCAGTAAAGACTAGATATGTACTACTACTGCTACTTCTACTGCTACTACTACTACTGCTACTTTACTATAAAGCCCTGAAAAACTACCACAGACACAACATATCGCT